CCCCCCCCCCCCCCCTCCAAATGGTGGGGGCGTACAGTCTGGCGGCGGTCTATTGGTCGATATGTAGCATTGATGTCTCGTGGACTCAACTCAAATTATTACGCCTGCAGTTGCTTTCATTAGCTCCCAGAGGGCCTCAAACCAAAGTATTGGACAAAGTCAATAAGACAAGCGTCTAAGCATTGAGCAGCATTGAGAGAGAGAGAGAGAGAGAGAGAGAAAGAGAGAGAGAGGGAGACACAATTGGCAATGTCAAACAACCAAATCGCACCATAGTAAGTTGGAACATCGAATTGAGAAGTCATCGTCAGCTCAAGAAGTGCGTTCGATGTTTGTTCCGCAGAGGCCCTTTGACACTTATTGCGCCACTTCTTTCTTGCCGGAATTTCTTCTCGGCGAAGATTCATTCGAGAGAGAGATTATTGATGTCGCCGTTTTTAACACTCAGCGGCTTGCTGATCCCTCCCCACATCACTGGCAAACACCACAGTCTGCCGCGTCATCCCGATTCAGGCAGACCGAATAGATAGGTTGATCTGTGGTGTACTGCCGATGACAAAGAGCTGATGGAACATCTGACCTGCAGTGCTCGAATTGAAGGCTCAAGTTGAAGTGATCTGGAAATAGCCAATGGCCAACAGGAAGGCAGTACCGTCTGGACGCCGGCATGTAGTGTACCCCGCGGGCTCTCGAACTCCTCCACGTGAGACCACCGACGAGCAGCAGCCAATGGCGGCCGTCCACCCACGCCCATGTTAAGGGGCCGGTTTTGATGGGATTCACGCTACATGGATAGCATTTGCTCGGTCTGGAGACACTTTTTGATGAGAGGCACTCACGATTCAATCGACAAGCATGAAGACAGACAAGCACAGACACACAGACACACGTACGAAGTCTCGTACGAAGTCTCACACACGTAGACCAGTGACCATGGATTTGTTTGCGTATGCCTTTGGTCGACACAATGTGTAAACCTTGAGTGGCTACCGTAGTCCTGTTTTTGGGCGGAGAGCAATGGGCGCATGCGTGCCGACAGAGCTGGCAAAGGTGGATCATGATCTGATACCTTCCTTGATTTAGGTTCGCGGCTGTGTTGACTTTCGGTGGTGTGCTTCTTCTTTGACGGGGCGAGGAGCGATGGCGCTTGCGCCAGGACAAAGCTCGGAGTGGCGCTCCCGATTCAGCTTGACGGCTGTGTAAATTTTCGGTGAGTGCCGTGGTGTGTTCTTTTTGACGAAGTAATGAACGCTGGCCGCTCGCGTGTGAACACAGCATAGCGAGATGTATCATGCATTGACACAATCGTGCTGATTTAGGTCTACAGCTGTGTCAACTTTCGGTGGCTGGTTCTCTTTCTCAAGACGGCGCAGGGCGATGGCCGCTGGCGTGGAAACACAGCATAGCGAGATGTATCAGACATACATGCTTTTGCATCGAATGAATGAGAGTCCCGAGAGAAATCAGCACAAAACGCCGAATTCCGTTAATACCGTCGCGAGGCTTGTTTTCTCCACTGCAAGGCCACTCGACGCCCTACAGGCCCCAGGACCACCCTAGCCTCATCTTGCCGGTCAGGATGATAGGCGACTTGACCCCTGGCGTGGAACTGCAGTGAGACGCCCACCCAGAGACGAGAAGAAGGACGGCATTCAAGTTGCGGGGCCTCCTGGTGCTGACAGCCCCGCCCCAACGACCCACGACCCGACAGCCACCCTCTGCAAAGAGCGGGCAACGGTGCAAGGGGGAAGAGCGGTGCATGCAGTGAGGTGAGCTGCAGTGAGGTGAGCCGCATCGGAAGCAGGTAACGACACACATGAAAAGACCCTCAGACCACCCGAAAAGACTGGGGTAAACCTCCCCGAATCACTGCAAACCGACTGGGGCAAACCTCCCCTCACACACGCACACCACTCAATCACCCTTCCATACACCCATTCGCCGATGGACACGACTGACAGAGACAATGATCATGAGTCACCCTCCCCCCCCCCCTCCTCCCCACTCCCCTCCGTCCGAGCCCGCAAAGAGACTGGAGGTCTGCTTGAGTCGCGTCATGACGTACGAGCGCGTCCTTCGATGGACGCTCTGGGAGGCAATGCATACCCGGCCATGCACAAACGAGGAACACCGAGCGAACATCCCGCAGCATGAACAGGAGACATGCATCGCACCAATCGGCCTTTGGGAGAGCAGCATCCCACCAGGGATCGATTGGAGCGACAGAAAACACGAGCAGCAGGTTGATTGGTTCGATGAGAGGGCGGTCTGGCTGAGGGGCGAACTAGGCTGGCTGATCCACTTGTTCTCCACGGGCAACTGGGCCCCGAGATGGACGGAATTCGCGGGCGACGGGACAATCGGCTTGCCGCACGCTTCCTGTTCCCAGGCACTGACGAGGCAAAGCTGTTTTACTGCGTCTACCTCTCGCAAGGACAGACCCCTGATGAGTTCCAATCGTTCGATGGTGCCTTCCTGGCCACACAGAGGGCCAGCATGGACGTCGGGCGAGTAACAGACATCCGAGAGGGAGCTGAGACGGTGGTCGATATGCTTCAGAGAGCAAAGGCCGAACACATGGTTGATAGCATCGAGAGAACAGTTGGATTGATCCCCTGGAGCCCTGGCTGCAGCCCGATGATCCCGTGTCTGAAACCAGAGATCACAGTGCAGGGGACAGCATCTGCGCTGACTGCCACACCCCGACAACATCCTACGAAGACATGACTCTACCTGGACCACAATTCTCTCAAGATGGCCTCCCTGACAGAGAACAAATCGAGGCCTACTACACCGAAATCTACTTCATGGAAAGGGAGACACAGTGGGAGTGTACGTCTGCCTTTCACCGCACGCCGTCCTGGCAGCAGACGAAGATGCAGGAGGTGACCACGAGCTTCAGCGGCTGTCAGTGGTTCTTCACAAAGACACCATGCTGGCAGACGCCGACGGAGATCTCGGAACTCCAGCGCCCCATCACCATCCGAGCGGCGAAAGGGGAAGAACACCCAGCCCTGTCTCTCCAGCCCGTGGCCCTCGCTGGTTTCCAGCCGATGGGGACGGATATCATCCTGCTGTATGCGAGCCCTGGGGAGCTGCCCGGGAGCCAAACCAAACAAGGACCCACGACGTGGAACACGATCAACCTGACCAAACTTGAAGAAGATGACAGGCCTCTGGGGATCATCGGTATCGCATATGCCCTCCTCCCTCCAGCCACGGTGACGCGCAGCATGAACGCGAGACAAGCGATCTCTGCATACCGACTGGATAAGGACGAGGACGAGGACGAGCAGCGACATAGCGACATGGATAGCAGCCAGCCAGCCCCGGCCGGCCGATCGGCAGATGGGCAGGACCCGACCAACACGGCACCCTCCGTGCAGGAAGGAACCGTGGGAGAGAATCGGGAGCAGGAGAGGGGAGAGATGGACCTCCCCGCGCCACATGAAGCCCCTCTACTGAAGAAGGTTGCACAGCGCTTCCAGGTGGACCCAGCCGAGCACAATCGTGCCACTAACCTTTTGTTGTCATCTCCACTCCCCAGAATCACCCAACGAACGACCGACGATGCCTTGATGGCCGCCATGGAGAAGGTACTCAACGGGCCAGCCACAACGGCACACAAACAGGCCACCACAGACACCACCATACAGATGCTGCAAGACGCCACAACAAGGATAATCCAGAACCGAGAAGAAATCTGTGTCAGAGACAGATCTCTGGGGTTTGAATTGCAGTGCAGCAGAACCGACAGGCTCAGCAACCTTCTGAGTGCAGGCGCAGCGAGCCTGGAGGGAACTTGTGGATTCATGATCCTACAGCCGGTGAAGGAGATAGAGGAGAGGGGGCGGCGACGATCTTCTAAGAAGCAAAGGATCCGAGGACAGCGGTTTGAGCTCTGGGTACTTCTACGCCAACAACAAGAGAACAAGCCGTGGCAACTGCGACCCTGCACCCCACCACAACAAAGGCCCGCCCAAATGCCACCCAGCCTGCCGACACACACGGACAACCAGCATCACACGGACACATCCGGGGAGAATACGAGAGTGGCCATGCGCTTACAGAGCCATGAGCTGATGTCGGCAGAAAAGGTGATACGAGACATGACACGTAGCATGCCTGACGGCGACCTGCCGACACTGACAAGGGCCAAGACAGAAGTACACGGACCCCCCCTCGCCTTTGCACTCCGACAGACGCCATGCAGTACCACCTTTCACCCGGCAGAATACGGTTTTACACCAGAGTACCTGGCCTACAGAGAAATGAACCCGTTGCTGTGGGAACTCGCCCTCGGCATATGCCACATGACTAGGAGTGACAAGCTCTCTCCAGCACAGACCACGCAGCTTTGGGAACGACACCCACACCCTCCGCTTGAACTGGCAGAGGTAGAGACACTCATGGCGGACTTGATTCGGACGTTAATGATGAACAACGCGGAGACGCGGGGGATGAAGACGCACATTGAGGCCCGTTGTCTCGATAAGCCGACAGCGTCTCCGCCCCTGACACAGCTGACGGAGAGCATGACGCGCCACTCAATCCTGGTCCTGCATCGCTGGCCGCTGTCGCTGGAGCGAGGACTCGCACTCGCGAGATGGAGGGCTGGACGCATGATGCTTTGCCTGACCGCAGACGGAGTTGAGAAGCCGGCTCCCCCAGTTGTGGTGCACCAGCTCCTGCCCGACGCAGAGACACTTTGTGTGGTCCGCGCTGAGCTCCGGCCTAGCCTACCCCACCTGTCCGCCGAATTGCTCGATCGAGAGGCAACCTTACAAGCATCCCACAACACTCTCACTAGATGGGCAGGCACCCGCACTGGGTCCATCGATGGACGGGCAAGCCATCAGGAATGGGGCGTGGTGACTTGAAATCTCGGGAAGGGACTCGAAAGAAAGGTCGCGTTGATTCGGGAGCTGACCCTCACACAGAGTACGGCCCTGGTCTTGCTGCAGGAGACGGGCCGCCTCACAGACAAGCACAGATTTATGATGCAGGAGCATTTCGAACAGCACTGGCAGTCCATCCTACCGGCCCTCCCGAAGAAGACTGCCATGCTATCAGGCGCAGCCGGCGTCTGCATCCTGGTCAACACCAACCTCATACCTGGATGTTCGATTACCACCATGCCGACCACTGAGAGATACGTGAGACACCTGATGATCCTCAAAGTGACCGACCCAATAGACTCGACAAATGTGACTTTCATCTTCAATGTCTATGCACCGTGTGGAGCGACCGAAACCGAACCGTTTCTGCAGTACATGGACACCTGTATCAACTCGATAAGAGGAACGTACCCGACAGCGCACATTTTGATAGGAGGCGACTTCAATGCAGTAGAGGAGGAGGGCGAACGCATCACCCATGCCCCCGGCCACACCAACACAACCACACCACTCAAAAACAAAGACAAGTGTCTGAGAGAGATCAAACAAAAGCACGGTCTCTCAAGCCTCACCCCCGCCCCCATCACCCTCCTGTGCAGGGACGTACCTACCATCAACGACACGAGCGGTGAGCAGCAAAGGAATCCAGGCCCCATGCTCTCTATCTCGTGGACGAACATGGGACGAGGGGAGGGAGACAGACACTTTTTCTCGATGCTCGATCGATTCCTGGCAACCCCCACGCTGCTCACGGCAGGGGACCCCCCTACTGCTCACTGCTCATACGCCCTGGACCCCCCGCTCCTCGACCAGGCGGCTGCCCTGTCGTCACACCTGCCGATCGCCTGCCGGATCCGGAACAGCATAAACTACTCACCCCCCAAACGACTGCGCCACCAGGCAAGACCGAGGTTTCCCCTTGACCGCGAGGCCTGCATGCCCTTCCTCCTGGAGTTCCAGCGGCGGTGCGAGTACGGCGAGGAACCAGCCGTGCAAGAAACAGAGCAACTGCCGGCAAAATAGGCCTCAACCTTGGAGCATCTCCTCCGGAGGCTCCTGCACGCCATGGTTGAGTGCGTCCCCCAGCTACGCGGCCTCACAACTGCAAGCCATTGGGAACATGATGGAAGCCACACATGCCAACATGCCCCTCCTGCAGCTCCGAGTTCTCCACGCTCACTTTGCGAATGGGATGTCACTCCCTAGACCCCTGGGACAACTCAGCCGAAGCGACTTCGGAGAGATCAAGAGGACACTGGAGGCAAAGATGCAGCGAGACATAACGGCGCTTGAGAGAGAATGGCAGAAGCTTACCGAGCAACAGAATGCCGCAGCAGACCGAGACACAGGCCGACGCACGTCGATCATGTTCAAAGAGACACAGAAGACAGCAAACAAGAGATTCAAGATGCAGGTCTCAAGGTCGACGAACCTCACACAGCTTCGACGAGCAGACGGGACGCTGACGGACGGCCCTAAGGAGCTAGAGAGGGTGATGTTCGACGGCTTCGAGGCGAAATACGGACATGCCCCTCCACCCCCAAGCGCCGACGTGCTCGAGTGGCTCGACGTTGTCCTAGCGGACCGGCAGCAGCCCAACCAACAGCTGAGCAATTACCCCTCCTTAACCGAACGGCTGAGCCCGGAAGCTATTAAACGAGCGATACGTAAGCTGGGCAACGGCAAGTCCACACCAGACAACACGCCTGGGGAGATCCTGAAATGGTCACCGCCAGTGGTCATGGAGACATTCCTGGACGCACTATTTATTTTGATCCACGGAGGCCAACCCCTGCATATCCTTGGAGAAGCCACAACCTCCTATATATACAAGAAGAACGACCCGGACGAGCTGAGCAGTTGGAGGCCGGTATCAGCCCAAAACCCATTTATCAAGGCCGTCGCCAAGACCCTTCAAGCTGAATCGGAAGAGCTCGCTGAGAAGCACGGCATCATTGCTGAGCAGCAAAAGGGCTTCCGCATTGACTCATCTTGCCATCACCAAGTTGCCACGCTCGCTCACCTTATCTCAGACGCACAGGCGCACGAGGAAGAGATTTGGATAGGATACATCGACCTGTCTGATGCGTATGGCTGTGTTGACCATCAGACCCTGCTTGAGATCATGGTCTGATCTCACAGGTCGCACAGGTAGCCACCTTTCTGGCGTCAGCCTCTACACGCATATCGCACCCTGAGTTTGGAAAAACAGACCGCATACCCTATCGGAAAGGCCTGCCACAAGGTGACCCCCTCTCCCCCTTCCTCTTTCTCCTCTACCTGGACCCCATCGTCCGGGAGATTAACGCGAGCGGGGAGGCAATCCACCTCCGTTAGACAAAGCGACGGAAGGGTGTCAACCCTTTTGCGGACGACATGGCCTGCCTAGCGCGCCGAATTGTAGCACTTCGCAAGCTTCTCCTCCTGCTGGCGTTCCGGGCCCAGCCCATGCACCTCGTCATCAACCCGCTAAAGAGCAGCATCACTGGATGGTCGCCGAGCGGACGCAGCATACGGGACCTCTGGAACAGCGAGGGAGAGCTGCTGGCAGAGTTCAGCGCAAGCGTATGGAAGAACTGCCCCATCTTGGAAAGCGAGCAGACATATCCCTACCTGGGCATTCCCATCGACGCCAGCCTCAAGCTGCAACACCTGTTTGAGGAGCTGGAAGCCGCCATCGAACAACGCTTTCAGGTCGTGTGTTGCTCCACCTCGACCCTAGAGGCAAAGATACAACATGTGGAATCGTCCTTACTCGGGATGTTGCGCTACAAGCTAGGTGTGCCAATCTTACCGCTCAGCCAGGTCCTCAAACTACAGGATGTGTTTCTGAAAGGCGTAGCGCGGATGCTCAGGCTACGGTCCGGAGTGCCGCGGAACCTCCTATGCAGCCCCGCGTCCCTTGGAGGCCTGGGAATAAGAAGCCCTCTGTACACATACATAGAGAGGTGTACGGATTTCTTACAAGGGTTGATCAATGACCCCAATGACCCCTTGGCAACCGAGCTGCTCACCCTCCTAAGCAGAGACACGGCCAAGCCTCCATACCTAACAAATATTTGTCAGATACACCAGCAGCTCAACCTACGATGGCAAAGAGTGAAGGCAACGAGCGAGGACGACGGCCCGACCGGCAATCACCAGGGAAGTACAGCAGACGGAGAAGAGGGAGACACTCCAGAGGCCCAACAAGAGGGCCACCAGGACACGTTCGTTCTACCGCCAGACAACCCCCCTGCTGGAAATGACGAGGGGAAGGCAACTGCGGCGGATGCAGCCAGCAGCATGCAAAACGCGAAGCACCTCATCAGCTTCCCTATGCACGAAAACAGGATCCTTCACTCTCACGCTGACCTCGACACGACAAGGCAGCACCTGGTGCGAAAGCTGCGAGCTTCGCCGAAAAGCCAGCGTCCTCCACTGCAAACCGCAGCTTTCTGGCTGCAATTGACTGATGCCTCATCACTGCATGTTGCTTGATCTTTCCAGGGAATCACCTACCCAAAAAGCTGGCATTTGCCGACAAGAAGCTGGACATATGTGTACAGAAGCCAGCTTCCTTGACAGACTCACCAGCTCCTGTCACAAACACCACAGCTTTCTGGCTGCAATTGACTCACTCATCATCACAGAGTGTTGCTTGATCATCCTGGCCCTCGCCCAACCAAAAAGCTGCTGTCTGCCGACAAGAAGCTGGACATATGTGTACAGAAGCCAGCTTTCTCACTGCAGACGCCAGCTCCCTCACTGCAAACCACAGCTTTCTGGCCGCAATCGACTGATTCATCATCACTGCATGTTGCTTGACCATCCCTGGCCCTCGACTACCCAAAAAGCTGGCGCTTGTCGACAAGAAGCTGGACACGTGTCTCATTGCAAGTTACACACAGAGCTTCAGTCGATACATGGATGACACCACCAGACCACTCTGTCCACTGGCATCCATCCATCCATCCGTGCATTCATTCATCCATCAATCAATCCGACTGTCGTGACCACACACCCATCCATCCATCCATCCCCATCACAGCTGTACAATGGCACCACACAAGCAAAACCGACACCATCCAACGTGGCTCACTCACTGCCCACTTCTGTGTGTAACTTGCAATGAGACACGTGTCCAGCTTCTTGTCGACAAGCGCCA